CTCTTGGGCTACTCTTTTACCAACGAATAGTGGGATTGACCGTCACATTATAACGTCCCCACGGCTGAAAGGGCATGCAAATGTACAACTTGCTTCATTCTTATGATCTTAAAGATACGTTTCAAGATATTGAGATAATTTTAAGTATACATCTTTGTATCATGGTATCAAACTGTACTGGAGAACGTTCTTTTTCAAAGCTTGGGCTAATTATAAACAAACTACAGTCAACCATGCATCAGCATCGATTGACATGTTAACCTTCTAGTCAAATGAGCATGAAATTTTACGCAGCATAAATTCGAATGCCATTATTCATGAATTTGCTGACATGAATGTGAGAAAGCACGCTTTTATTTAATTTTGGTTGTATGAAATTGCTTTTGCAACTAGAACATTTTTCACTTATATTATTTGTTTGTTTATAGTTAAGCACAAAGCTACACAATGGGTTATCTGTGCTCTGCCCACCACGGGTATCGAAACCCAGTTTCTAGCGTGGTAATTCCGCAGATATACCGCTGTGCCACTGGAGGCTTTTAGTTAGAAGTTTAGTTGATGTCATACTCAGCATTTCAATGGATAAATAGTTTCATACTCAGCATTTTCAACTTAATAATTTGTTTTGAACCTGAATGAGATAGATTTATAATGCTTGAATTTTGTTATCATATTTTAGATGTTGATATTTGATAATTTGAAATTGAATTTGTAAATAATGATAAATTTTATGCTTTACATTGTAGTATATTTCTTGCTATGAATAATTATTAAGAATAAAACTGTGATTTATATATACCAGCTTGTTATTTTGTTTATAATTATACGTTAAAACTTTAATATTTTGGAAGGGCCATTTTTGATTGTATTGTCCTATGGCCCCGCTTATTCATAATCCGCCCCAGGTTTGTTCGTGTGTATTGACAAAAAATCAGGATATTTAATGAAAAACAACTTTGGTTGAAAAAAAAGGTGCGTCCAAAAGGGGATTGAGCGCGCGACAGAAAGGAATGAAATCAAAATTGGCGCCCAAACTAGTAGCTATATTTAGGGCACTGATAAGAATTTTACAGCAAATATTCATTCATTAGTTAGCTAGGCCGCGTATTTTGTTTTACCCACCATCATGTCCTAAATTGAACCGATTTAATTTTATTCCTATCGCATGCTCAATCCTTTTTTGGCCGCACCTTTTTTCACATCTAAGTTGTTTTTAATTAGATTACTGTTGTTGGATTATAGGCGTATAGCAGAGGAATGTATTTGAGAAAATCGTTTCTTATTATTACATGGTAGTACTCTAATGTTGCTAATGCAAGATAAATTAGCTTCAAGGAAAGTTAATTGTACATTAGATGAAAATTATAAAGCAAAACATAGTAGAGAATATAAGTAGCATTTGAGATAACAAACGAACATTGAATTAAGGCAGCCAAAATTAAGCTAGAAGGCAAGATATTTTTAAATAACCCCATTGCTGAAAAAGGAAATATAGAAAATATTAACGAAGCTATCTAAGCAATGGAAAGGTCTCTTTTAAGTAAACAAACAAACAAGTTTGTTTATTTTAATAATACACTTGTATTGCTTATGTTTGCATTATTTTATTTGGCAATGTTGTTTTTTTATAACTTAACATTCTGTACTTAATTTTGAAACGGTTATTTCATTGTGTTTGGAATGTATATTGTAAGTTTGTCAACCATATTTTTGTTTATATATATATTGAGTTTCCTGGTGTATATATATATTGTTACGTCTCTGTTTGTTTCTTAATTTCCGGTAGAAATTATTTCCGAGGAACTTCAGCGATACAAGTTCTTTCTTAATTAAAACTAGTTTATTCTTTCTCGATACAACTTTTAGTAATACACAGAATTTCTACAGTCACTCTAAACTTAACAATCCTTATAACACACGCTATAAATCACAACGATTCACACACTTTACTTATGGTGCCTACTGTTCCCTTGACTCAAGTATCTATCTCTTCAATCTATCTATCTATATCGCTGGCTTTCTTTGCCAGGCTTATATACTAGAAAAAAAAGAGGGCGTCTAGCAAACACTCGGACATTCGCTGGATTCCCCGATAATTCTAGAAACTCCAGCGCGCATGCTCCCTGCGTCACGCGACTTCCGCTGTCGTAACAATATAGATATTGTTTGGAAGGGTTGCCTAGTAGAATTAATTAACTTTTTTGTATTTTTCAGTCGAAGAGGGTTTATTTAGCGTTCTAGTGCATTTCATGTTATTAAAAGTAACTATTATATATGTTTGCTGTATTTGTAAAGTATTAATTGTATATGACATGGTTGTAAATTGTTATTTTAATATGCATTCTTGTACTTGTGATATTATGTTTTGTTTTATGTTTAACCATCGTTTGTTTGATATTAAACACATAGCTACACAATGGGCTATTTGTGCCGTGACACCACAAGTATAAAAACATGTTTTTTAGAGGTGTGAGTCCGCAGACTTGTTGCTGAATCACTGGGAAGCGTGGGGGTTATGGCTTAACTAGTGTTTAAGGGTTTGTATTTTAATGTTATGTTATATATATTGACATTTGATTTTGTATTTTGCAGTGTGTTAATTTGTAATTATAATCTGTGTTAATTGGTTTGATTTGTGATTTCATTATTAATCAGTTCATTCTTGTGTAACTTATTGTTGAATTTTATTTTTTTTATCTGAAAGAGTTTTGGCTGTGTGTACTTGCATCTGTCTTAAGGGGTTATAACTTTGATATATTTCTTTGTTAAAATATATTTGGTGTAATTTTTGTGTCACATTCTTAATTTTATGGCTGCAAGTAAGTGTTTATAGGGGTGAGATAAAGTTAGTACATTCCTTTATCAGAGACAAGTTCAAATCTTATTTGTTTTATAATTAAAGTACATTGTTGGCTTAAGGATAAGCCTGAAGTAGAGGAGAGAGGAAAGTGTGCTGTATAAATACACTATGTATTTCTACCTTATTGTAGTAATATACTGTTACGACAGCGGAAGTCACGCCACGCTGGAAGCATGCGCGCTGGAGTTTCTAGAAGGATCATGACTGTTCCTGGCAACTCTGGTCTTTTCTAGGCGCCCTCTATTTTAATATATAAGCCCGGAAAATAAAGCGGGGATCATAATTGCAGATAGATGGAGATAGAGACAGATAATTGAGTCAAGTGAGCGGTAGTAACTGTAAGTAAAGTGCGTGAATCGTTGTGAATTATAGCGTATGGTGAAGTTAAAGTGACTGTGGAAATTAAGTGTATTACAAAGCTTGTAACGAGAAAGAATAAACTAGTTTTAATTAAGAAAGGACTTGTATCGCTGAAGTTTCTCGGAAAGAATTTTACTGGAAATTATCAAACGTTCAGAGACGTAACAATACTAGGATTCTGAAGTTCTGAACTTATAATTTATTCTGTATATGCACATTTTTCACATAACACGTGTCAAGAAATTCATTGGATTGATATCCTTCTAACTGCCTTCGTTTGTTATCATTCTATTGAAGTCACATCTGTTCTGCCTATGGGAAATATGGCTGTGATGTTGCACGATGTGCAAGAATATCGACAGCCTGCATCCTTCAGTGTTAGTTCAGATGGCACCTCTAGGTAACCACTTCCCTATACTTGCATGTGAATGACCAGTCATGTAGTTAGCACGAACTTCTTCGCGGGAATCCGACGTTACCTGTAAACTAAGGAATGTTAGGTTTAAACAACCTTATAACTGAGTTCAGCTTCATCAGTTGAAAATAAAGCGCCCGCTAGGAGTGACCATCTTGTAATTAACAGCAAGTATACACATTTTGTTTATTAGTTGAAAAAAGTTAATTCATTTTGTTCGTTACTATGCGTCCAGTATTTTTCTTACTCCGATTCAGTTATTCAGAAATTCACTATCATCTCGTAATAAATATATTTTCGGACCTTCTGTTAAGGATTCCTTTTCTGTAAATGTATTTCGAGTTTACCTGAACATACCACAAAATAAAAAATTACATATTTTAATAAAAATTGCCATTTATCCTCATTTGTGTAAATTACGTGATGATATGTTTGTTTTTGAATTTCGCGCAAAGCTACACGGGGGCTATCTGCGCTAGCCGTCACTAATATAGCAGTGTAAAACTAGAGGGAAGGCAGCTAGTCATCACCACCCACCACCAACTCTTGGGCTACTCTTTTACCAACGAATAGTGGGATTGACCGTCACATTATAACGCCCCCACGGCTGAAAGGGCGAGCATGTTTGGTGTGACGGGGATTCTAACCCGCGACCCGCAGATTGCGAGTCCAGCGCCCTAACCACCTGGCCATACCGGGCACTCGTGATGACATAACTGCTATTTGAAACGGTGCATAAAAAGTTAAATGTAGTCATTTAAAGTCATAGACTATTTATAACTTATAAGTGCCAGTAATAAAGAAAGTGCAGCACCATGTTGATAGTGGTTATTATTACCCTTTGCACTAAAGAGTAATTTTTATTATATATTATTGTTATATATAAATGTGAGTTGTTATGTTTTGATTTCTTCCGATTAAGACAAAAGGTTAAGTTTCATTACATTTATGAAGATTTCTCTTTTAGTATTAAAACTTATAAACATGCTCATGGAAATAAATTACAATACTTTGAATTTTTTATTTTTAAGTGCAACGCAAAACAAAGCTTTATTATTCTATTTATTCTATCTTGCACTGAAACCAACAGCAATAGCAGGAAGAAAAAAAGAAAGAAAATTACACAGGAAGATCTTACTTCAATTTTTTCAGGTGGCGAGTTGTTGAATGATGGCAGCCTCCTCCTCTCAGCAGGGTATGAATCAAAATTTACATTCTAGTATGGGGCTAAATGAATGCTATTGGTATACTTTTCTTATGCCGTAGCATAATAATTTTCAATGCAGTTTTATTAGTTCAATTTTACAACTAAATCGTCTTTTAGTTTTACTTTTACTCTAGAGAGTATGCCAATACTAATACTATTACTATATAACTATAACAGTATAAGCCTGTGTAATGCTAATAATAATTTAAGTTTGTAATAGTAATGCTATCGTAGTAGTACTACTATATAAGTACATTACATAATACATCTGTAGTTTGAAATTATACTTACACAAGTTACAGGACTAATCCGTATCGTTAGTACCATTATCACAGTAATATCCTACTAGTACTATTACTATTAATAGCGGTAATACTATTATTAATATTTGTGACAGTGTTTAGTATTACTAACGTCATTATTCTATATTATTATATAAATTATAATATAATACACTGCTGTAGTAATAG